ACACATAGATCTTTCTATATTTATGTCTTTAAAATGTACATGTTGAGCTTACAAAAGCTAAATGCAGTTGTGCAAGAAATTCAGGAGGTGCTTGGTCAGCCCAGGACTGGATACTTTCAAGCTTTAAAAATACAAACCACTAGCCCTGGCATCAGCTTAGCTATATATATCTATATCTATATATCTATATCTCAACATATATAACATATGTGTATGGGCATGTTTGTGTGCATTTGCGAGATAAATAATAGATATGTGATGTGAATTCATCCTGCTTGTCATATAAAGCCAATGCAACAGAGGTGGTAATAATACAATACAACTGTAACACGCTAAAAGGTGGTCTTTCACAGATACAACCCTACACTGAAGTGTTTAATATTGTTAAATATTTTTGCTTTGCTTTATATCTGATTTGTAATTGAGTGTGGGATTGCTATGCTTGCTGAAAATATTTATACTTTTAAAAACAGGGGAAGGACAGGTAGGAAGAATAACTGAGGAACTAAAATCTGCATGTAAGAGGGTAGGAAAAAAGTGGAGCAAAATATTGTGGCAATACGTGTGGTTTTTTGTACATGAAAAGTACCAGATTAAACTCATGGAGCTCCTTAGGGCTAACCACCAATGAGTGTTAGGATATTACAAGGATTCCCTGAATTGGGGCATACAGAGAAGAATTTGAAATACTATAAGGTTGGTCCTATGAATACCAGTCTCGGCTGAATTTGGATCCACACATTTTTTTAATGGAAATATCATTACTGGCAGTTCAACCATTGCTGTATGAAATGCCTAGGAGCAAAATATTGTGGCAATATGTGTGGTTTTTTGTACATGAAAAAGTACCAGATTAAACTCATGGAGCGCCTTAGGGCTAACCACCAACAATGAGTGTTAGAATATTACAAGGATTCCCTGAATTGGGGCATACAGAGAAGCATTGCTGTATGAAATGCCTTGCCATCATATAGCTAATATCTCCTAGTGAAAGAAAAGATAACTATTTCTAGAAACTGAAATGTCCCAGGCAGGCCCAACCTGGATCTGATCATCACTACCTCTTCTCCATTATGTGCATACCTGTTGTCATGTGGAGAAGGAAAAGTGTGAAACCAAATGGTAATGCAGCAGGAAGAAGCATTTTTCTGAGTCACCAAGATCACACAATTATTCATGCTTCTGTTTTCCATGGAAGAAGGGTGTATCTTATCAGTGGTCGCAAATATACCCTTCAACCCCCATTGCAGTCAGTAGGCTTAGAAGAGTGTAAATTTAGGATGGCACTATGTTGCTTCAACTGAATGCAGGTATACTCAAAAGTAAGTTCCATGTTATTCAATGGGGCTTACTCCCAGGAAAATGTCTTTAGGATTGCAGCTTGTGTCTCCTAGAAACGATAATGTGAAGAAAGTAATTAACCCAGATTTCTTTGGCCAAACTGTTTTGTGACAGGGGTTAACACAGAGAAAGACAAAGCCTACAATCCAAATCCTATTCACCAGGAGCAAGGATCAGGCTGAAAGCCTTCTTTCCTGAAAATTCTGAGTTGTTTCTCTACCTCTAGTAAGCAGTTTCCACAGATGTGAAGACTACAGCTCAAGGAATTTACCTCACACTTGCAGAATTATTCACTCCTCTCCAAACCAAACCCAGTATGTTTTCTCTCTGCTCTTTAATTAATTCAGCAGCTGTAGTTAAAGGAAAATTCCAAAATGCAAACTGAAGTTGTAATATCCAATATTTAACCAAAGAAGATAATTTCCCCCACATATCTAAACCATGGGCGTCTAACCTGTGGCATGGATGCAACAAAAGACACAGGCAGCTGGAGTTTGTAGCCTGTCAGGATAGGGTAATCAGGCCTACACTTCTGCTGGATTTCACTGCTTCCAGCTTCCTAGCTCAGTTAATGAGTGATAAAACCATACCAAGTGGGTGGGATGGGGTGAAAGGTTGCTTATGTCTGTATGAAGCTGCTATGTAAAGAGCCAAACCCATCGAGTCAATTCAGCTAGTACTGCCTACTCTTTCTAAGCACTTCTGTTTGGCATCGTCTTAATAGAGGTTGCATAAGATCGAACTTGTGACCTTCAACATGACATATAAGCTCTACCACTGAGATATGGGCCACTGAGCTCTGAGCAAACACTGGAGTGATGCTTTGACTTATGTTGGGGTTGAAGTTGTGGCATAACCCAGCCCCAATTTATATGATCACATTTTAAAATATTCTGGAAATGTAACACTGGCCTATCACTGCTACAAGGTGAGGATGTCATTGTCCCTTTTAATGAATTCCAGGCCCCCTTTGAACTACTTTGACTTTTGGAACAGGAAGCTTCAGCTACTAAATGTACAGTACTAAAGGTACATCCCTGTCTCCTAATTATCATCAGTTACAAGGGAGGATTGGAAGGGATGGCCCTGGAAAAGGGCCTTGCCCCCCAAAAAGCGAAACCGAGGCAGTGGGATGGGTTGAGGTCAGGAAGGCCCATCCTATCATTCACAGTAGCAAGGCTGGATTGGATAGGTGTGTCCCATGCCTCACTATGGTTAGGTGAGGGTGGAATGTACATGCATCCCTGGCCACAGTGAGCCATCCTTCCCTGAACCTCCATCTTGCTGCACTCTTCTCTTTGGGCTAGGGTGTCCCTGGCAGACGGGTGGTCCCTGGCTTGGGGTGGCACCCCAGGCCATCAGCCCACTGAAAATCTTTCCAGTGGCCTTAATGGCCAATCCACCTGTTTAGCTAGTGCCACAATGGAAACTCTCAACATTCTTCCTGCTGTCTCTCTTTGCCTGGATTAGAATTACATACTATTAAAATTTCATTTTGTGCTATCAGCTTTACCAGGATATCCACCATTATGGTCAGCATCTATTGCAGGGTTAGGGTAGGGGAGATGAGAGCAATAACTATCTTATACACGTAGTGCAATTTCACTATATATACACACTCCTTATCTTGAACATAGGGGCTTGTTACATCCCCAGCACTTTAGTGTGAGTGTGTGGGGTGTGTGTGTGTTGCTCCTTGCCATATATATGGTTTTGTGCAGGATCATTAAAAGAAAATCAATATTTCTTTGACAGTAATGGCATGTTATAAATGTATTTATGGTTTTATGTTTAACAGAATAGCCTTTCCTTCTCTCTGTGTGTGATTTGTGATAATTAAACATATATTATTTTGATGAGGTCATAATTTTAAGAAAGTCTGTAGAAGTATTACAGATTAACAGTGCAGAGCCGCACATGTAAGTTTTGAGGACTGTGCTCTCAAAGGAGGTCCATGCTAGGGTACATTTTAATTTCCATATAACAAAAATAATTATTTCTCAATGTTGTCTATTAGAACTGTTTATACTTTATAAAAATATTTTCAGAAGTAATTGAAAATACTGAAATAAGCTGATTGTAAACAAAAATAAATTATGTACTGTAAATAAACTTAAAATTTCTCCCCCAAATTAACTTGGGCCTTGAAGACTTTATACTGTCTCTTCAAAATCTGAATAGGAAAAAAAATTAAACAACCTTTGATATATGCAAATAACTGCCTGTCAATCTATTATATTTGGTGGAGGAAAAGAATAGCACAATTTAAATACTGTACTGATAACACTTCATCATTTTAATAACTAGGCTCCTGATAGCCTCCTCTAGAAAAAGAGACATTCACTGAATTTTTATTTTTTGTGGTGTTTTTTTTTTTTTGGCAAATACAGCTTCTATGCTGCGGCAAGTATACTTTATTTTTGGCTGTCATTTCCAATGAGAAACTCTAATGACATTTTTCTTTGAAAGTTACCAAGTATTAATATACTTGACCTCCTCCAGAACTTGTTGATAGAAACTGATTAATCACAAACCAGCCTGTGGTTCAAAAATGCCATCTGGGAATTAGACCTATTCTTCATCCATTCCATCTTGACATTACATTATTACAGATGGCTCCATTTTAAAAATGAATAGCACCACACTGGTTTTATACATATCTGTATCACTGTCGTAACACCTGTGCCCAACTGGCATTACATTTTGATTTCCAATTTTGCAATGGCACAGCACAATTGGCTCACCCCCATTCTAAAGATGTATCTCCTAACAGCAAGTTTTAGATCAAGCAATATGTGAAGAAACTAATTAAAATATTTCAATCCCACTCAATACCCAGAGACAGTTCTTGAAAGTCTAAATTCACTAAGAGCTTCCGCTGCTATACCTCTCGTTATCAGGACTAGTTTCTCCTTTGTACAGCAATTTAATACCAATAAATGTTTAGTATAAAAATAGTTGGGCTTGTTGTATATGGAAATTTTACTGCAGTATTTTGAAACCAAAAGGTGCTCAGTACAAATGCTGCTCATGCATGTATTCTCTTCTTCTTTAGTTTTCCCAAAGGAAACATCAGACTCAGTGTCCTCCTCCACGTTATTTCCAGTACTTGGTTACAGCTGAGACGTAGTGTCCAACCACATAATTAGAACAGTGCGTTTCCAAGTTTTGTCTTCCTGATAGACCACAAATGACTGGAAAATGTAGACTGCCAGTGCATAAACTTGTAGGGTCAGGAAACTGTTGAATGTACTTACTAGAGGAGCCATTAATCTGTCATATTCACTGTTCTCAGCATGTCCTTTGGAAGTTTATTTTTATTTCAGCAAGAATCTTGGAAGGTCAATGCATCAAAGTGGTATAAACTGGTTACCCAGAAGAACTGTTGAATTGTGTAAAGATATTTCTACATTGTTCTCATGCCAGCAACTCTCTTGTAGACCATACCAAATTCAGGCACTGCATTTTCACTCCAGCTTGATTCCTCATGATACTGCTGAGAGTAATGTAGCAGCAGCATACAGCATTTGCTTATGAATTCATCAGCAGGTGTAATCTTTGTAGTTCTTTCCAGGGGTTGTTAAAAAGCTACTTGCAGTAACTGTAGCCAAAAGGTAAAAGGCTGATAAATCAACAGAGGGAACTGCTTCATACTCTACAAAAGTCCTAAAAACACTGAGTTAGAAAAGACAGAACAATCCTTGTTTTATTCTTCTTATTATTAGATTTAAGCAGCTGCTTTCAGTAGTAGTCTTCATAGTTCTTAGGGTTTAGGCAATAAAGTATGGCACCCCCAAATGAAAATATAGTTGCACCCCAAGCTAGGCCATAGCCCCAGTTGAACTCGTGGTATATTCTCAAGTTTACTGTTTCAATGAACTTGATTGGATAAAGGACAAGACTGCACACCTGAAGAACCACTGAAAGAAAAGGGGAGAGGGAAAACCATATGTCAAATTTAAAGTTTCATCCATTTGTTTACAAGAAAGCAAATACAAGAAATATAATCCATAGAAGTTAATTTATCTTACCTGATTTGTTATAATAAAAGTTATTAATTAGCAGCTAATTACAAAAGACTTCAAGTGGAATCATGTATTCCATACCTATAATCTACAACTAATCATGATTATTTTTTACGTTCCAACAGAATCCATATTCTAATCTTCCATTATAAAGTGTAGCAGTCCCTAATACTAACTGGTAAAATATTTTTCTATAGTAAGGTGTTTTTTTTAATAGCCCTAGTTTGGTTGCTGATCTGTAAGGCAAAACTGTGGCAGGCAAAATGTTTATTATGTCCATTGGACAATTTAAAGATTCTCTATGCATCATGCACAAGAACATATGGGAGTCAGTAGGCAGAGTATTGGCTCTTGCTGCAGGAGATAATGCTGCTCAACCAACTGACAGGACTGATATCGGTTATGAATGTTATTATTGCAGTTTTTCCATAGCCACTATGGAAAAAATTGGTCCAACAGCCGCATCAGCTCAAAAATATATAGTGAAACGCTACATGAAAGACTCTTGTTCCTCTTCATGCAGTTATCACAGAGTTTCTCTGGATTTTAGTTTTCTCTCTCAAGCTTTTAAACATCTACACGAAACATTAGCTGAGCCTGTTCAGAGCTACATTTCTCTGGATTTTAGTTTTCTCTCAAGCTTTTAAACATCTACACAAAACATTAGCTGAGCCTGTTCAGAGCTACAAGTTTGAATACCATCAACATGATCATGAAAATAAGCTCTATTTATCCTTTCCATATGCTCCAAATTTGAGAGTAGTTTTTCTGAATGAATGTGCAATAGTGGTGTCGTGATCCTGGGCCTATAGTGGTGTGGCCTACAGGCTCTAGGGACGCCTAGTGGCTCCAGGGGAGCCCATATTGGAGTAGCTATCAGGGCCTACATTTCCCAGGTTCCCTCTGGACCCTGTGATTGGTTAACGGGGGATTTTGGAGGGGAAACTACGCCAGCAGGGGAGCAGAGGCCTTGTCCAGAGTTGGAAGGTGTTCTCTCTCAAGGAGCAGGGCTGGTGAGGCTGCTGCAGAAAGAGGGATCCCTCATCCAAAAGGGGTGAATCAGTCTGAGACCTGGTACCTAGAGCAGGCTAGGACAGTATAGTCAAAAGTCAAAAAGTCAGAAGTTTATTACGGTCATAAGACCAGCCACAATAGGTACAGATAAAAAGGACAATTTATAAGTTTTGAAATGGATAAATACATAAAAAGTGAAAAAGTGTGTGTTTGTATCGAAATGGTAAAAAAAACCCCACACTCAATTTATTTCCCAGCAACTGATGTTTCCTTCATCAAGTAATTCCACTTTCTGAGTGCTATCACACAGAATTTTGCTACTGTGTATGATATAGTTCTCTGGCTATCATCTAATAGATATACCCGAAGGATTTCAGGACTAAAATATATATAATACTGTAGTGGTTTAAATCTACAGAGTAACAGAATAATTAGTTGTTATATATGTTAACCGACAATCTAGACCCAATAGCAAATTTCTCCGGGGCATGTTTAACTCAAATGGCATATAGATTGAATCTTATCATCCTGAATCGCTCATTCCCTGATGATTGTCCAGGCCAATTTACCTATTGGTCCGGTATAAAGCACTCAACAATTGATTACATAATGACCTCCTTGAACCTTTACAATAGTAATATTAAATTCAAGGTTGATGTGAGACCAGATTGTGATAATTACCCCTTAGTGTTAGCTGGGGAGTAACACCAAGGCCCCCTAAGAATAGGGGCAGGATTGGGTTAGACATGATAGACCAGGCAGGGAGGATTAAAAATAAATGGAATATTAAAATTAGTGAGAAATTCTGCATTTGGACAGTATAGTCAGATGTGTTAGGATTTATTATTTTGCCGGTTTACCTACCTTTATTGCGCTCATTTTTCCTACATGTTTTTGAACTACAGTTGTTATTAAATCTCTTTAATAAAACTAGTTTGTTACTCTGCCTTGGTCCTCACATCTGATTTGGCTACATATAAAATGAAACCTACTGGAAAAGTACTGTATAAAGGGGTAGGGTGGGTGCTCTGGGCCCTCCCGAGGAGACCCATACCAGAGTGGTGGCAGCCATTACAGAATCTTTCTAGCTGCTGCCCACAACAAGTAGACTGGATGAGGACAAATAGATAAATTCAATCCAAACAAGACAGAGTTAATAACAGTAGGAAATAAAGGGATATTCTTGCCCTGACAGAGATGACACGTAACAGGTTCACAGCTTCTGAATGTTCCAACACTTGGGTTTCATGTGGTAGATGTGACTTTTACCAGCTTCTCTTGATTTAAACATTTGTGCATCTAATGCTTATATTACTGAACCATTATTTGAAAAACCACATGAATACATGAAGCTGCCTTATACTGAATGAGCCCTTTTTTGGTCCACCATGATCAGTATTGTGTACTCAGACTGGCAGCAGCTTTTTCAGGTCTTAGGCAGAAGTCTTTCACTTCACCTGCTATGTGATCCCTTTTAACTGGAGACCTGGGACTATCTGCATCCCAAGCAGATGTTCTATCTCTAAGCCATAATCCCTCCCTGAATCAATACTTTTATGTCTGCATGTTTCTCATGTAAGTCTCTCACATCAGTTTCTCATGCACACACATATTAATTGTACACATGCAACTGATAGCTATTTTACAGTGAATTCTTATGCATGTTTACCCAGAAGTAGATCTCACTGTATGCAGTGCAGCTTACTGTCAGGAAAGTAATCACAGAATTGCAGCCACAGTTGCCCAAGCATAAGGACAACCACAACTACAGCTTTATGTATTCAAGCTGGCTAAGTCATCCTATGTATGCAATCTATTTAACTAGACCTAGCTTATTTTGTCTCAAATGCTTCCACCTCTCCCAGACATTACACTTGGCAAATACAACTGAAGCCAGCAACTGCTATTTTTGCAAAATCAAAACAAAATAAGAGCACAATAATGCTTTTACAGAATCCAGAAGAAATAATCAACCATTTTATTCTTGTTCAAAGATTCATATGACAGTATTTTTGTGCTGGGTTAAACTTAGCAGCATAGCCTTTTCTTTGGGCAAATCATACATATTCTTATGCATGTTTACCCAGCAGTAGATCTCACTGTATGCAGTGCAGTTTACTGTCAGGAAAGTAAACACAGCAATTGCAGCCACAGTTGCCCAAGCATAAGGACAACCACAACTACAGCTTTATGTATTCAAGCTGGCTAAGTCATCCTATGTATGCAATCTATTTAACTAGACCTTAACCGGGGCCCTTGCTTATTTTGTCTCAAATGCTTCCACCTCTCCCAGACATTACACTTGGCAAATACAACTGAAGCCAGCAACTGCTATTTTTGCAAAATCAAAACAAAATAAGAGCACAATAATGCTTTTACAGAATCCAGAAGAAATAATCAACCATTTTATTCTTGTTCAAAGATTCATATGACAGTATTTTTGTGCTGGGTTAAACTTAGCAGCATAGCCTTTTCTTTGGGCAAATCATACAAAAATATGCTGTTGGCAAAAAGGATATTCCTTTCTACTGCAGTTTCCACACAAATAAGGACATTTGTACACTGATAACACATAACTATGTTCCTGCAGTGTCTTTACTTGCTATTCAATCCTATATATATTTACTTCAAGTAATTCAAACTGCTTTCAGTGGTATTTAGTCCAAGTAAGTATGGACAGAATTTCATCCATACTTTAACAAAGATATAACCCTAAAGCATGTCAGCAACTCTACTTCCCATTACTTAGAGTTGCCAGGTCCCCCCCCCCCGGCCGCCAGTGGGGGATGGGGAATTGGGTTGCCAGATCCAGAAACTCCTGGAGATTTTGGGATAGAGCCTGGGGAGGACAGGGACCTCCAAAGCATCCATTTTCTCTGGGGGAGCTGATCTCTGTAGTCTGAAGATAACTGTAATTCCAGGGTATCCCCAGGTCCCACCTGGAGGCTGACATCCCGAATTAATATATGTAGATTTTTGGCCTGGAGGCTCCAAAACAACAACCATTTTAAAAAGTTAATATATATAGAAATCTGGAAAATGGCATACAAATCAAACTGGATGTTTCTCAAATGCAGTCTTCTCTATGTGCACACAAAGATACTCAGTTTGGAAGAAAAGGAATCATACAGTGTTGTAAAGAAAGAAAGGAGTTGGGATTAAAAAAACCCTTCCCAATGACATACCTATAAAGGTGTGCAAGAAAAAAAATGGTTGTTTTTGGATTCAAGTATACTGGACCTGAAAACCACCACTATTTCTTGATATTGAAGAGGAGGAGGAGATTGGATTTATACCCTGCCCTTCACTACCCGAAGGAGTCTCAGTGTGGCTTACAAACTTCTTTCCTTTCCCCTCCCCACAACAGACACCCTGTGAGGTAAGTGGGGCTGAGAGAGCTCTTTCAAGAACTGTCCTTGAGAGAACAGCTCTGACAGAACAATGGCTTGCCCAAGGTCATCCAGCAGCTGCAAGTGAAGGAGGAATCAAACCTGGTTTTCCCAGATTAGAGTCCATGTACTTAACCACTACATCGAACTGGCTCTTGATTGGACCAGGAGGTCTAATTCTATGGGCAGCCAAAGAACATGCCCCCATCCTCCATCGTTTCCAATGGGAGAAAATAGCAAGGCAATACAAGCCCAGCAGAATGTACCAGATAATCTCTGTAGCAGAAAGTGAAGAGGGGGGGCTTTTTTATGACCAGCAGCAGAACCAGTGCCATTGCGGCAGACTGCCAAAACCCAACAGGACTAAGGTCAAATCTGAGAATCTCTGAAGTAGAAACTGCG